AGTGAAATCTTTGAACGCAGATGGGAACAGCTCTTCAATCTTTTCACAAATAAATATGAATAAACAAACACTGATGATTCCAAGTAGATGGTGAGGCTGCCATATCTCCTGCTGCATGCGCTGCTGTAGCTGGGCGTAGGCACCCAGTCCTACCCAGTAGCTAGCCCTGGATCCTCGCTGTCCCCAGCTGCCACACACACACATAAATGTCTCTGTCAGGCCCCAGATCTCACGCTATCTCTGCCAGTTGGCCTGCTCCCTCTGGTAGCCAACTCACCCAGTGCCTCCTCGCTCCTGGAGACACATTATTATGGTTTGAAGAACCCGCAACAATTTATTGTAGTTTAGACAATTATTCTTTCACCTGATGATCCCTCCCCACCCGGGAAGGGGAATCGGGGAAAAAAACAAGGAAACCTGAGGGCTGAAATATAAACAGATTTAATAGGATAAGACTAGATAATTAACATTAATAACACTAAAGAACCAGTAGTGATCCCAACACTAATATAAAATGTACAAGGATTATACTCGGCCAATTCTATCAGTAGAAGCTGTGCACTCCCAGCAGGGGACAGCAAATATCGGACACTTGTGTGTACTATGGCTTCAGGAGGAAGGGAATGGCTCAGGATCTGGCACCAGGGCAAGAAGTTTTCTGGATCGTGGCTGTCATAAAAGAGAAAAACTCCTCAGTAAAGTTTATAATTTATATTGAATGTGACATTCATGGTATGAAATAATCCTGTTGGCCAGCTAGGGTTGAGTGCCCGGGTCTCGCTCTTCCTCATCCCGGCACCTGGTGAGCTCGAGAACACTGAGACCTTGAAACCCACACACCATAGCTGGCTATAAAGTCAGTATTTTCATAAATTCAGAAATTAGAGTCTTCTAAAAATGCAGTTTTCCCAAGTGTTAGAAGAGACCTTACCGAAAAGTAAAATTACTGAAAGACAAATTAACCCTGTGTCGCTCAAGCCAGGACACACCTGGATACATCTGGCTGCCGAGTCCCTTAACCCACCCCGGGGTTAGTCTGGCTTCGCCTTTGCCGGCGTTCCCACTCTAACAGGCACACCCTCACTCGCTCCGGTGGCTGGCATCCAGTCTGGGACCAGTCCTCTAGCTCCAGCCGCTGGCATAGAGCTGTATATACACACAGCATGCACACGGAGCAGAGACCCCCACCCAGGAGGCTTTTTTCATACCCCTATCCTTTATTATTTAAATGTAGCATCTATTATTTGTTCCCAGGTGCTAAATGGAGAGGCCTTATTGAATATCTGTTCAGGATTGAAGCTGTCCAATGCTACTTGTCAAAAGTTTTGTTACAGTCTGGCTCTCTGCAATTAGCTTTCTACAGCTAATTAAGTGTTTTCGTATCAAAGGTATTCTTTTCCTTTAACAAATAAAAAAAAAATAAAAATCTGTGTTTTGGATACTTAACAAGCTGAGAACAGAGTGTATTTTTGGCCTTTTGATGACACTGCTTCTGTTACTTAACAAGAAACTTTTTAGGTTATATAGGTGAAAGCCGTCCTTATTGGGAAAAAAAATCAGAGATAGCACATAACTGAGAGAGCCTACCGTACAACATATCTTTTCAATTTTCTTAGAAAGACTGGTCTGTATAAAATTAATTAGTGACATACCAAAATCTAGGGGTCTTCATTGGAAAACTCTTAATAATAAATGGAAATCTCTGGTTTATTATGTTCCTTAATCCCTGCTACCTCAAATCACCTTTTTCCCTTTCTCCCCTCCCAATCCTCCTCATCTGTGGATTGCTTTCAAAGGCTGTTATTATAATTTTTTGTAATGAGCTGGGTTTCTAATTATAGAAGGAAGACAAGACAAGCTGTTATTTGTATTAATGGACATGAAAAAGGGAACGCTATTAAATTTCTAGTTTTTAGAAAACTTCTTGAGTTTCATGATTGCTCTAACACTGATAATGAAATATTACCTCCATTTTACCCTATGACTTCAAGGAATTTATTTAGTTGCCTAAATTCATGTGTTTATTCCTTTATTTTAAAACGTGAATGTTTGAACTTTTTTCCAGTGATTGTCTTTTTGAACCATTTTAAGCTATCTTGCATGCTTGAATATTTTCTTATATCTCTTTTCTTTTCCCTTTCCTCTCACCAGAATTCTCTTTTGGACAGACTGGGATGCAAATTTTCCTCGCATCGAATCCGCTTCCATGAGCGGAGCAGAAAGAAAGATCATATATAAAGATATGGATACTGGAGCGTGGCCTAACGGCCTTACTATAGATCACTTCGAAAAAAGAATAGTATGGACTGATGCCAGGTAAAGTGATAACAGTATTCTTTTTATCTGTTTATAAATCCTTATTCTCACATACAGAAATGTGAACTACACTGGAAGTGGAATGTAGTTATGTACATAAGATCTCTTGCGTGCAAATGTACAGCACATACATTTCTTCAATCCCGTTGCTATTATACATAATTTCTTCATGGTCTGTACCAGCAGACCTTAATGACCCTGACCAGGCTTCTCAAGGACCTCCCCTCACACCCCCTGTCCCGTGGGCCCAGGAGCCCATTTCAGCTCAGCCCCTGCCTGAGTAACACTGCTGGAGCACCAGGCTCCAGTCCAGCCACAACACTGCCAGGCAGTGGGCCCAGTTGGTGCAGACCCCAACCCACGGGGTGGCTTCCAGACCTCATCACCACAAACTTTTCTGGTGATTTGGACTCTTGGTTGAACCTGGCTGCCACCCTTGGGCCCTGCCTTGCTCGCCTTACGCGGGGGCAGTGGGGTGTAGCCCTGGAGAGCGAAGCTGCTGCCAGATGTGGTGTCATCCATGGCTTCTGGCTCACTGGGCCTTAGAGAGCAGTCACCCATTTGTCCTCACTGACATTTACGCATGGAAGACCCAAGCTGTGTCACTGGTTTTTCTGTAAGTTTGTCTCAATGTTAACTGATTTTCCTGCTGTATTTTCACAGCGTGGAGGTAAATTTGAATTTAAAAACAGTATACAAGCAAAGCAGTATTTCATATTCTTAGTTAAATGAATAATGGGAACTAAATAATCTCTGAAGTTAACGATTGCACTGTAAACGTTCTTTGGTCTTAGCAGTATGTAAGAGTAAAGTTTGTATACTTGCACCAATGTCATAATGGTTGTGTGACTTTTACTTTAGTTTTATGTAATCTTAAATTTTGGGGTTTCTTCTAGGTCGGATGCCATTTATTCTGCGTTATATGATGGAACCGGCATGATAGAGATTATACGGGGTCATGAATATCTTTCTCACCCTTTTGCTGTTTCTTTGTATGGGAGTGAAGTATATTGGACGGATTGGCGGACCAATACACTTGCAAAAGCCAATAAATGGACTGGCCAAAATGTCAGCGTAATACAAAAAACAAGTGCTCAGCCTTTTGATCTTCAGATATATCATCCAAGTCGTCAACCACAAGGTGACTATTATTAGAATAAGAATAATTAATTATTATTCCTATGAGGGGGGAAAAAGAAAGTATTCTTTTTATGTACAAATATCAGTATATGAATTTGCCTTGAACTGACAATTCTTAATTAGGTGTTGTATTCAACACTAGTGTTCCTTGGGTGACAATAGAATCTTTATTCAAAACAGAAACTTCGTGGGATCTGTGGCTATGAATATTGCCCATTGGGACTCTTGTTCTTGATCTGTTACAAATATAGCGCTGAACTACATTTATTTAAAATTATTTTTTTGACTAGAGTAACTAGTCTGACGAAAATAAACATAACAATGTTATCTGTCTTTCTCTTGCTTCTCTCCGGAGGAAGATGAACTTATCTGTGTAATGAATAAACTGCGTATACAATTCTTAGGTGTAAATATTCGCTTTGTGCTATAATTTGCCTTAATTTACTCATTCACATAGAATGGTTTGTGTTAGAAGAGGGACCTTCAAGATCATCTAGTTCCAACCCCCCTGCCCTGGGCAGGGACACCTCCCACTAGACCATGTTCTAAAAGCCCCATCCAGCCTGGCCTTGAACACCTCCAGGGATGGGGCAGCCACAGCTTCTCTGGGCACCTGTTCCAGTGTCTCACCACCTTCAGAGTGAAGAATTTCTTCCTGATATCTAATCTAAATCTACCCTCTTTCAGTTTAAAGCCAATACCCCTTTTCCTATCACTACATAGCCTTGTAAAGTGTCCCTCCCCAGCTCTCCTGTAGCCCCTCTTTAGGTACTGGAAGGCTGCTCCAAGGTCTCTGCTGGAGCCTTCTCGTCTCCAGGCTGAACAACCCCAACTCTCTCAGCCTGTCTTCGTAGGAGAGGTGCTCCACCCCTCTGATATCTCCTTGATTTGTCTGTTTTTGTTTACTTCTCAGTCGTATTGTTCACACTTAGGACTGCATAACTTAAACTCCGCCACTGCAGACTACTACTTTTCTACCTAAATAGCCCCAATTTGGTGTTGTCCATAAACTGACACTTTTCCAAAGCATATGCTATTCACTCAACAGCTTTTATCTTAAAATAACAGTTACAATTTTCAATTAGCACTGTATGGCTTTCATGGGAAGATGAACTCAACCTGCTGGAGGCACGAGTTTGGAGTTTCAAAGTTCAGGAAGTACCAAACTTAGTTTTGGTCTGAAGAACGACTAAAACTGAAAGGAAGTTCACAGTATATGCACTAATTAAATAATAGGAAATTCTTCAATTATTTCTTGATACATTATTTTGTAACTTTAGCTTCCCATTTTCATCTGTATAAAGGTTACCTCTTTGTGTGTGTATATTTCCATTTCAATTTTATACCAGCTTTTATAGTATAACATCTATTTATAGCAGAGCAGTGCTGTACAATTATGGTAAGTGCATAGGCTTTGTCATTAGCTAGGTAGTCTGACAGTACTTGTATATTTAGTAATCTTCAGCTACAATAACTAAAGATAAAACTGTATTAATCATGAAAATAAAAACTGACCAGATCTTATCTCTCTGATTTAATGAAATATTCTGTTTAATTCCTAATGAAAAATGCAGCAACCTGTTAAAACTTAGCTCCTTGAGACGGATGTACAATGTCTGTCACATAGGTAATAAGGCTAATGATTTTCCTTTCATTTCAGCTGAAGCTTCAAATGATTTTATCACTGAATAGTGAATGTCTCATTCAGGTGATAAATATTTAGTTAAGAAATATAATGTATTGACTTCAGTGGTCATAGGTGTGAAGGTACCAAGAAGGTAATCACAGAGTATAGCCCGTTAGTTGCACATCTAGTATTTTTCTAGAGTATAACTTTGTTTATTACTTCTCTAAAGATTATGAGGATTACAAATATATATATATATATATATATATTATTTAACTGGCGTAAAATTGTTTTCCACTCTAAGTTTTCTGGCTTCAGTTGTGTCAATATATAGACTGTACCTAAACATGTTGTTAATGACATAAGCAATAATGAAATCCAAATTAATTATAGAGGGACTTGGCACATTTTGCTATGATTTCATCCTTATACCCACCCAGCACTGATCCAAACATGTCTTCCTGCTTTCCCTCATACTTCACTTTTTCCCCATCTGCTCTCCAGTTGAGGACAGGTGAATCCAAGATACTTAGTACAGTGCTAACAACTGGCAATGTTATTCTTCTTCCTACCAGTTATGTCTACTTCTACCATCGTAAAAAAGAGAATTTTAATTGGGCTTTATAGTTCTTCCTTCTCTGACTTTTCAAAAGTTGACCCCTTCAAAGTCCATGTATCCCTGACTTGGGAGTCATAAATGTGAATGGAAATAGTTGAAAAGTGTTGTTACATAGTCATTTACTATGAACCTGGCTAAACTTCAAGTATCCTTCCAACAAAATAACTGAAGATCAGTTCTCTCAGTGGATCCCCATATAAAGTGAAGAACTAAGTAAAGTGACATTTTTTGATACGACTGTAGCTATGTTGATGTTTAAAATAAATTTAAAGTTCCAAAACCAAGTATAGACAGGAAGACATTATTATGATGTTGCTGACAATTTGAAAACCCATTCTTGGAAAGAGATTGGAAAGAATTAGAGTATTGATCAAAAAGAGAACAAAGCCCAGAACCCCTCAACCACAGCTGAAATCCCAGTTTTCTCAAGGTAGTCCAACTCTTCAATATAGCTTTTGTATACAAATGTAGCAGCCCTCGGAGGGAAGAATCGGTTGTGTCCGCTATCGGAGGGAAGAATTAAGTCTCTGTAGATTTTTTTTTTTTTTGTATTTTCATACCAATAACTCATGGGTTATTTGTAAATAACAAAACAGATCATCCAGAACAGAAGTAGTTATGGTTAACAAATGAGGTGAGTTACCCTATTGTTGGTTATACATATGCTTAAGTTTACTCCAGCAACTATTCTTGTGCAGTGGTCTTACTGTCTCCTGTCTCCCATAAGCTGTTCATTCTTCCCTAGTAACTTCCTGGTCTCTAATTCTCCATCACCTGTCTTTGACTTTTTGTAGGTAAATAGGCTTAAAGATACAGATTATCTAGCGTGTGAATAATACATATTTTATAGGTGTCACAGCTATAATAATGCATAGTTAGTATGTGAATATATACTTAAACATATTCCTGTGTACATATATGTACTTCACGTATGCACATGTATATGTACATTTTTCCATTTTTATAGGTTTGAGTTCAACATTAATTTCTGACATTCTTGAAATACCACCAGGTGCATTATCTATTAGTAAATTAAATTCTGTTACTGTAGGGCACATCTGGCTATAGAAGCTCTTGGGACGTGCCCTGGAAAATACCAGTGCCTAAAAAAGAATTGAATATATGTTTTTATTGTGAGATATAGCAAAAGGCAGTGACTTAATTTGTATGTAAATACAGCAAAGTAAAAAAAATATGAATGGAGGATGTCCACCAATTAGTTATAGAATGGTCCATGGTCTCCGGATAAATTTCAACTCTTTTGCCAAAAAGTTGATGGTAATAGAAACTACTTTAAAATTCCTATCACATATACTTGGGGTTTTTTTTTAATATTGAGAAATGATATTTTGTTTTTCTTCTCACCTAGGGTTTGTAGTGCTCAGTAAGCTATTCAGACTTTTATGTTAGTAGCAATCTTTATTTGAAAACATTGAGTTCTGACAATTTTGTATGGCTTTGTAAATGTCTTAGAACCCAGTTCTGCATTAGTTTATACATTGGAGCTATATCCATAGTCTTCTATGTAAATGAGTGCTAGCAAGTGAAAGTCTACCTGCACATTAGTAGTCAAAAGATTTGAAGAATACTTTCTAATAGCATACATTAAAGAAAGGAGAGCAATGAATACAACTCACTGTTATTTTGTGAGTCTAAGCATGATGACAACTGTGGTAAGGACTCGCAATGAGCAACTCCTAATGTGCCTTGCAATATGTGACATATGCAGCCAGGTTACATTTTGCTGGTGGTTTTATTTTAAAACAATAATGAACTTACATTAAAGGATGTTACTGTTTTTCAGTGGTTAGGTTCCTTGGGCTTTATTACATTTTGGAATAAGCCTCTTAAAGAGAATTTACTTTTTAGGCCAGGTTACTGTTCTAACAAAACAATCTGACTTCTGGACAAAAGAGTAGGTATGCCCAGGATCTTAAAATATGGGTGGAGTAAATATGCATCTCTGCACACCCCTTTAATGTAATGGGGTTTGCTGTTTTTTATAATTAAGCACTTCCTGAACTTGGGGATTTGAGGAACTATGTTCTATATTTGGTGTTTTCACAGTAGCAGTAGCGTTCTCATTAGCCATTTCTTGCTGTCAGAAGAAAACAACTATTTTCTGTTTGGACTGAGGCCAGGCAGCGTCTTTAGAGAGAGACTATAGCCTGGGGAGACATCAGTCAGTATTCCATAGTCACTGATACCTTGGCCTCAAGGCAAGGTATAAGCTGTAGAAGAGTTTTCAGCAGTTGTTTGCCAGAATCTAGAAGTTCAAATATCAAGTTGTGTAATCGCAGCTTTTATTTTATGATGTAGAAAACACTAGATTCCGATTTATGATTGGCCTTCTGGGTTTGCTCTAAATTATTCTCTTTCAATGGGAGCAATTTCTGTCTACAAATCTCCAGTACCTAGCTTTGCTGGAGCTAGAGAAAAATGGAGATACCAGGTGATTACTTCCTAATTTTTCTTTTAAGTTTCTAGCAATTTTGCAATAAATGAAACAAGACAGCATGCAGTTTAGAATCCCAAAATAAAATTAACAGTAGATTTACATTGCAAAATGTCAGTATAAATGTACCTCTGAAGGACAAACGTTTTGTAGTCTCAGCTCTATAGGTATATATCTGGGTCACCTATGCAGGTGAAAGGTTATTAGCTTTTAAACTATTTCATGCCATTTATTTTGGTCGAAATAAAGTAGAGCAGAGCTAAATAAATTCCTGTACCCTAAAGCAACATTATTTCAGTT